TTTAATCTCCGTTTGAAAGGAGATAAAGATGAGCTGTTAACTTATCTTCCTTAACTTTCATCAGTGGACATTCTAAATTTGACCGCAGACCTACCCTGAGAACCACAATAAAGGAGAAGGACCTATTGGCGACCCTCCAAAATATTGATTCGGTTCACCGGCGAAAGCATTAGGTTTGTTTTTGTTCATTTGCGAGATTTCTTAGAAAAGTGTTTGGGTTAGTGTTATGAAAACCGAAAAGGAAGTTAAATTGGAGTATAAGATTATTTACGACAACTTTATTTCAATAATAGACATCACAAAGGCTGGGAACTAAAATGCAGGAAACTCTTACTGACATCAGATTGACTTAGATCACATTGCCTTTGTTAGAATTAATTTCTCTAACACTCGTTTCGGTTTGGTTGATCCTTCTTTATTTTCTTTCCTTCTCAAGTTGTCATAACTAGCTTCAATGTATCAGGGAAAACTAGAGTCTCCGCTTATGAAGGTGACACTGCGGATGACATTTCTAGGCCGTCAATCTTCTTGTGTCGTCATCGTACCATCTCATTAAGCGAATCACGCTTCACTACGTATTACAGTTCCCACATACTGAGTATGCACCTTAGGGTTGTCTACGCAGTTACAAAATCAATTTCTTCCTTAATTTTCATATCTTTACGGTTGAGATCGGCCAGAACAGAAACGAGATCGACAATATAAAAATTACAAATAACCTTGGTTCAGAGAATTTTTTATACCTAAAAGTGTATCTTAAGCGAAAATCACCTTTAAAGATTGTTACATAACAACATCTTGGTCACAAGAGTTAAAGAAGAAAGGCGCTCACAAGTACCGCCCCCAAATTGCTTCTTGTTGCGAAACATAGGGGGTATCACCTGTTTACCCTTAAATTACCTCTGGGAACACGAAGGTGTCGAATGCGACCTATTACCAGGGAGATTTACTCTTCCTGGACTAAGAAATTAACTTATTTACGAACATGGCTTATCACGAGTTCCATGTCAACCTCACGATCACAACGAAGAAAACGTGATTAAACTCACTAGGAGAACGTGGCCAAGCTCACAAGAAGAACGTGATCAAACTCGACCTTTAAGATGAGACCACCAAGAAGGAGTACGAAGTAATCAACCTGCCCTTTTTATAATTTACATTAAATGACTTAAAATAAAATAATATTTCCATTCCTTTTCTTTCCAACACCAATACAGGAAACCCTTACGATATTGCAGATTAACTATAATTGTAATTTTATCATTTAACACCTTGCATCGGCTAACGAAAGTAAGCGGTGACTATTTTCGTATGTTTTTGCGAATCTCACAGTAAGACACGCTATCTCGCTGTTGTTTCTATAGTAGAGGTTAAGCTGCTTTCCGACACTTGCAATATCCTTAATATTGTACTGTTTAATCTTTGCAAGTTGAGCGATTTAACGCAAGCAAAATACTGCTAGTAACTCTTAAATCGTGTAATAGAAGGATTGTAGGCACTTAAAACAATTTACCGCTCCCAGTGGGGAGGGAGTGGTAAATTTTTAGTAATAACTTCAAGCTACTTGCGAATAAAATCATTAAGACTGTTTTTTTGCACTCAATGGGACGAATAACCGCTCCGGAAGGAGCGGTGAACAACTTTACAACTCGATATCACTGACGGATAACCGCCACGCATAGCATCGACCCGAAGCGCTGTATCTTATTAAGTACTTAAGATGCAGTCTAAACGGGTGCCAAGTTGCCAAAGGTGGGTAAGGGCCAAGTCGCACTAGAGGACAATTTCAGATTTGTCCAGGACAAATCTG